GGGGGGGGGGGGGGGGGGGGGTTTGAACATTTAGTTTATTTTCTTGCAATAATTTTTTTATTATTTTATAAACCTAGTCAAATTTAAAAAAATTACTATTTTATTTCCGTAGTTCCTGTTACATTTCAATACCAAATTGAAAGGTTATGTATTTTTTTTAGATTAAACTTATAATTTGACTATTATTTTTAATTTTTTGTTATATTATAATGTTGACTAATATATAACGAATTTTGTATACGAATATGATTAGGATGTGGAGGTGGTCAAGTGAAAGTATGTACATTTGTCACATTGATTAATAATTTAAATAATATTTACATTCATGTCATGGACTACACAGTCCATGTTGGCAGTGCTTTCACTAAAATGAAACTAAATAAAATTAAATGTGAGTTTAGTTCGATAATAATTGATATTAAAAAAAAAAAAGAAAAACAAAGCATAAATTTTTATTTATAAAAACCACTATTGATTATTTGTACAGAGACATTAGAACCACCGATTTGTAGCCCTATTAATTAATATCCCTTTATAATTATATAATGATATAGAAATTTAAAAAATAAAATAAAAGTGAGAATAATTTGTTGGTGCTAAATTTGCCTTATAAAGTCCTAAAATCACACCTAACTTAGCTGTTAGGATGTCTAATTGACATTCCTAATGGTGACTAAGCAACAAAGTCAAATAAATAATCTATTAGTGAAAACCACGAGGAAATTAATTTATCAAGTCAAATTAATTATTCCATTACTATCAACCATCACAAGAATAATAATAATAATAATAATAATAAACCACGTGTTTTGTTTCTTCCCAACCTACCCACTCGAGATTCATCCATATCCCTTGAACACGTTCACAATTTTTAAATCGAGCTTAATTTCCATTTAAAAAAAGAAAAAAAAATCAATCTCGTAAATTCACTGCAAAGATGAAAATTGAAATAGGTGTCAGAGACCAAAACAAGAACCGTCGTCCCACCCAAAAACACGCAAAAAGTTGAACATTTTTCTCTCAAATTCACACTAGAAATTTCTAGTGTTTTTTTTTTTTTTTCAAATTTTATTTATTTATTTTGTGATTATTTCATTATTTTACAGATATTACAGCTTTCTATACCCATATCTATCTACATAGAAATCATGTATTATGGTAAAAACTAAACCAAATACATCATACCCACTTCAAGGGCTGATGAAGAGTGTGATAAACCTACAGGGTAGTCAGCTTCTCTGCTGTTCTTCCTCAAGAACTCGTAAATGAAATCGATCATTACTCTTTTCACCGTGCTCGATCCTTGCTTCGCTTTCATGTGTGACCGTCCTAATATGTAAGCCACTCCTACTTCTCTTGCTTCCATTAGTTCTTGTAGTTCTTCCCTTGTATCCGTGTCGATTTTCGGGCTCTCTGGTACAATGAAGCGCACTCGTTTTCTCAACTGAACTGGAGCTGGTGATCTTATTTCCCTTGTGTCTGAAGCTCTGTACAGATCTTCAGAGCTTTCATCCATGATTGTCTCGGCCATCTGAACTCTATCTTCGGAGGTAGACGATGTCCCGACGACTGTCATCTTTTCACTATGGTTATCAAAGCACTGTCTTGAATCACTACACTCTGCACTCCCTGATCTTATGAACTCTGCTATGCTGCATATAAGATCATTCTCAAACTCTACGTCGTCTTTATGAACGTCTCGATACCCATATCGCACAATGCACCTATACAGTCTATATTCACTCGTACCAATACGACCAATTAGGAACCGTTCCTCTGCTCTAACATGTGGCACTGGGACATATTTGATGCAAAGGAAAACAAGAACTTGATGGAAGGCAGGAATGTTGGTGACGAAGTGGGTGAAGATACCCGGGATTCCCGACACAAGCTCTGTCTGAATGACACCAATCCCAC